GCTTTTCACATATAGAAAATATCATATTTGGATTTGTAACAAAACTAGATTCAGCAAATCACTAGAAACTGCCTAATCGTATTTAGAATTCACTTGTTTATTGAAAAAAATCTGCTTTGAACGAACATATATTGGTATATTTAACCTTTGTAAGCAAAAACATGGCACAAGCCCTGTTTGCAAAACAAAGATTTGGAACTCCAAATCCGTTTTGTATCTCGACAACTGCATGAAATTCAAATAGATATCATGGTAAACCTGTTGAGGATCGAATTTGCAGATAATTGTATAAGACGAAATTCATTTTTTTTATTACATTGTCCTTTGTACTCTGAATATCGATCAAAACTTTTTGAAAACACTGGCATTAATCAAATGGCGTGGTCAGATACGGATTTACTATGTATACTAATTTCAAATTATCTTAGACAGGTTGCAAAGTTCATACTGTATTTTTCATTTATGCAAAGACAGTCCTTTATGTTCAGAAAATAAAAATGTATTTCAGTGTCATTTTCATCTAACAATAATTCTTATAACAAACACTACAACCTAGCATTCCAAATGCATAATTATATATTTATCACAATTAGGCTACTTTTTATGCACTTTTTTCTCTTAACGTTGTGCTCTTTATTTTTTTATATATTGTATTACAATTTTGGCATATAGGCCCCATGGGCCACCGGGTGTTGATTGTTATTTTATACTGTCTGTTAACAAAAGAATTTAATAACTATGTACAAATGTCACTATAAAAATAAATTACTTACTTAATTATCAATAAAATTCATGTGTTTGAGAGTTAATTATATTCTTTATATCGGCTCTCATATTATTTATGAATCAAAATTTGTAATTGTGAGTTACTGAGAACCAAACATACTCGCAGTACCGCTGTATCCATCAACTCTCAACTTGTATTTCTGGGACTCGCTTCCAATGGAAAATGTTGAGTATTTGGCAATTCTTGTTTTGTTTTTGTGGTGAGTGAATGAATAACTTCGTTTCCTTGAAAACATTGAATACTTTATTTTTTTTGTCAAACTAAACGTGCTTCAGTTTGTAAAGTGAAAATTAAATATGAGTGTTTTTTTGGGGGAAAAGATAATTATATATGGTACAAAACAGTCTGATTAAGATCAGATCCTCGATCCTCTCGTGTAGCGACAATAAAAAAAAGGAGCGGATCGAGGATCTGATTTTAATCACAGTGGGTACGAAATTTTTTGGGGAGGATAGACAAATATCTCTTGGGTGAATCATCAAGAAACTTTTTTTTCGAAATTGTTTACAATTTTCAAAGGATTACTTTTTAAAAATCTTATCTTGAGCACATACTTACCTAACCAGTATTCTTCAGCTTTACCAAATCCTTCTTTATAAGAATTCCAGGATCTATAAAAATCTACAGACCCGTCCACTCTACGTTGAATAACCTGTTGAAAGTTAAAGAGGTTTCACTTATCTACACAACCCAATGCACAATTCCAGCTTATTGTTTACTGATACTTTTATTTTTTGTAAAAATGAAATATTTTCTTTTATGCAAAAGTGACGATGAAGTGAAAACACTTCACTAAACATAACATTGATGTTTTTACATTACAGAAAGTTTTAAACATTCTCACTGTCCATCCCCCTCCCTCAGTAGTCATATCACAGTAGACCAGTTTCTGTGTCTTCAAGTCGGGTAAATAACATAGACGCCATTTCTTCCTTTTGTATGTGGAATAGATTTTAGAATAGCTGAACAATCCCTTGTTTTTTGTATGTCTGTAAAAGAATACATTTGTGTATTGTTATTTTCATAGACTTGAAAAAAAAAACAACCCATGAAAAATTGCAAAAAAGAAAGTTTTAATTTGTTAATATTGATACTGGTATTGAGTGGTTAAGAAATTTTATTTTATTTATTTATTTTATTTTATTTATTTTTGGTAGCAGGGATCAAACACAATATCAGGCATATAGTTCTATCTTGCATTTTTATTTAAAACTAAGACTTCGTGTACTGACGTTGATACTTATTGAAGTGTTTCCCCGTAAGTCTGTAGTGGGACAAGACAGAAATGTCCACGGAGACTGGGGAGTCCACTTTGACTGAGGTGTTCAGGTGCTTCCAGTTCCAGGGAGTTAACTTCAGTAGGGACTGAACATTTCCTACAATATTATGGATACAATGTATTGGAATAGCAAAGAGTTGATATGATTAGCAAATTCATAACATAAAAGTTACCTTTTATTTGGGAATGAGGTACAAAACACAAAACTGCTGTAAAAAGATAAACCAACCCAGAGCGTCAATACCTCTAGACGATACCATGATTTTGATGGGTTTACAAAGATACATTCATTTAAAATAAATATTTCAATTATATACATTATTGTGATCATTAAATTGTAATACAATATTGCTTTCCTGACAATATACAATATAATACAATATCCATAAATACTGTTTTGAAGTAAAATAATAATTTTGATATTATAATATCAAAGACGTCAAAAAATGTTCAATATAATTAGTACAATTTCTAAATATCTTTCATAGGCAAATTTTATTCATACATAACCACATAACTTGATTTTATTACACTACAACAAAAGGAGACAATCCAGGCTTTCAGTGAACATTTTTTATTGTAAAAAGTGCCAGCCCCTCCCCCTATACTACATCCCTGAAGACATACCAGTCAATAAAGTTCTTTCTTTCCTCTTTCTGTGTTTTAGCTTACTTTTTATTCTTATTTTATTTTTATTTTCAGTTTTTTTAAAGAAATGCGCATGCAAACTTGCAATCCAAATTTTTTTTTCTAGGGATGGGGGTCCATCCCAGTCGCAAAAAAATTTCAACCCAGAAATTTCTTGACCAGCAAAAAAATCCACATCTAATTTTCCAAACGTGAAAAACCTATTTTATGGGGATGGGGTGTTGTGGGGTGCAGAGGGAGTTAGGCGTTGACCTTCAAGTTCGCCGAAATATAGCTGAAATACTGATAACTCGGCGTTAAACAATAATTATCATAATATTCAAGCTTCAGACCTATTACTTTTCATACAAATTTCACATAGATCTGCGTTTTCGAGGAGGGGTCCGCGTTTTTAGGGGGAGGGGGTCCAAGGTCACTTCACCAAGGTATTTCAGTACATGTGTATACATATATCATAACTGCAAATTCCAGGGGGTCGGACCCTCCAACCCACGTCTAGATCCGCGTGCGCTCATCTCATTTGTCAGAGTGGATGTTTTAAGTATCTAAATTTGATTTACACCACTTCTCGAAAAAGGTCAAAAAATTCAAATGTATCTTTTAGAAGAATATCGTGAATTAGAACTTTTATTCCAATAAAAAAAGACTTATATACATGTGTATTTGGTAGTTGCAGCATATATTTCTAGTTGTTGCTAGCTCTTAAGGGATTTTAAAGGATTCAGATAAATTATCAAAGATATTTTGGAAGATCATACTATCTGCACCACTGTCCGTGTTCTTTTCTGAATTTCTTTAGCAAGTGAAAATCCTTCGTTATTTTCCCCCGCTTTCGCGAAAGCGAGGGGACATTAAATCTCATTCGTCTGTCCGTCTGTCTGTCTGTTAGTCTGTCCGTCCGTCACAAAAACTTTAACCTTGCCCATAACTTTTGATTCAGAGGAGCTCTGACTTTCATATTTAACATGTGTATTCTTTGTGACAAGACCTTTCTTTGGGTACCACCAAATTAGACCTTTTGACCTTGACCTTGGAGTTTAACCCACTTTTACACAAAAATTCAAAACTTTTACTTTGGTCATAACTTTTGAATGGTAGGTACTAGGACTTTCATATTTCACATATGAGTTCTTTGTAGCAAGACCCTTCATTGGATACCAGCAATTCTGACCTTTTGACCTTGACCTTGGAAATTTCCGTACTTATGAAAAAACTTTAACCTTGACAATAACTTTTGAACGGTAAAAGCTAGGGCTTTTGTACTTCACATGTGTAATTCTTGTTAGAACTAGAAGACCTTTCATTGGATACCAAGAAGTTTCATCCTTTGACCTTGACCTTTGAGTTTTAAGTACTTTTTAAAAACACTATACATTGTTCACAACTTTTGAACTATTGGTACTAGGACTTTTATATTTCACATATGTATTCTTTGTTGCAAGACCTTTCATTGGATACCAACAACTTTGACCTTTTGACTTTCACCTTGAAGATTTACATACTTGTGAAATTTTTTAACTTTGACCATAACTTTTGAACGGTAAGGGCTAGGGCTTTCGTACTTCACATATGTAATCCTTGTGAGAAGACCTTTCTTAAGAAACCAACAGCTCAGACCCTTTCACCTTGGAGTTTGACCTACCTTTCAAAAATTTATCCTCGGCTTTAACTTTTGAACAGGTGGTGCTAGGGATTTTGTATTTCACAATGATTTTATCGTATTTCTTGTGAGGAAAACCCTACTTTGGGTAGAAATATATTTAATTTGCATTTAATAAAATTTAATCTTCGTTATGTTGGCATACGGCGTCATCAGTGTTTCCCAAACACATCTTGTTCCTTATATTGAGAAGAGAAAGGGATTTTATATTTGACATGTGCATTACTTATGACAAGATAATTTCAAGCATGCTATGATTCTTACCCCTTGGCCTTCACGATTGACCTTATTTTAAAAAAAACAACTTCAATGATAATTTCTAAATAAATTACATATGATAGGGTGTTCATATTAGATACACATCCACAACGACACCGAAAGCGGGAGACCACAATTCTTTGAATTTGCTTGTTATAACTTATTCCTAGTATCACAGAGCCTCGTCCTCTTACATAAGGTTTTTTTTTTCTCTTAATACGATCAACAGCTTATATTAGGGTACATAATGATGAGAAACAAAGCTTTTTAGCTCACCTGATCCAAAGGCTAAAGTAAGCTTTTCTGATCAAAATTTGTCCGTTGTCTGTCGTCGTCGTTGAAAATATTGTGAAAACTTTTCACATTTTCATCTTCTTCTCAAGAACAACTGGACCAATTTCAACCAAACTTGCTACAAAGTATCCTTGGGTAAAGGGAATTCAAGTTTGTTCAAATGAAGGGCCACACATTCTTCCAAGAGGAGATAATTATGATTTAGTGAAAAAATTAATGGCATTCTTAAAAAATCTTTTTCTCAAGAACCACTGGGACAGGAAAGATGAAACTCATGTTGAATCATCCTCAGGTAGGGTACATTCAAATCATGACCCCGGGGGTAGGGTTGGTACACAATGGACGATAAAATTTTTACATAGGAATATATAGGAAAAATCTTTAAAAATCTTCTTTTCAAGAACCATTGGGACAGAAACGATGAAACTCATGTTGAATCATTCTCAGGTAGTGTACATTCAAGTTTGTTCAAATTATGACCCCCGGGGTAGGGTGGGGCCACAATGGCCGATCAAAATTTACATAGGAAACATAAGAAAAAAAATTTCAAATCTTCTTCTCAAGATCCATAAGGACAGGAAAGATGAAACTTAATATTGAATCATCTTTAGGTAGTGTACATTCAAGTTTGTTCAAATCATGACCCCCGGAGGCAGGACGGGGCCACAATGGCCGATCAAATTTTTACATAGGAATATAAAGGTAAAATCTTTATAAAATTTTCTTCTCAAGTACTGCAAAGCCATGATTAGTGATGTTTATATTGAAGCATCCTTAGGTAGTGTAGATTCTAGTTTGTTCAAATACTAACCCCCAGGGATAGGGAGGGGCCACAATGGGGGATCCAAGTTAAACGTTGAAATATATTTTAAAATATCATCTTCTAAAGAATAGCAAAGCCATGATTAGTTATATTTATATGGAAGCATCCTCAGGTAGTGTAGAACTAATATGTTCAAATCATAACCCCCAAGGATAGGGAAGGGTCACCAATGGTGGATCAAAGTTTTACATAGGAAAATAAAGGGGAAAATCCCAAAAACAGAAAAGCTATGTTTAGTTATATTTACTTGTAAGCTTACTCATGTATTGAAGATTTAAATTTGTTCAAATCATTAGTACTCTTTGGGGTAGGATGGGAAACAATATATTGGGAGTTAAATTCAAATTATAACAAAGTAATATATACAAACAAAATGTTAAAAAGAATCTTTAAAAATCTTTCTCAAGAACTTTCTCAAGAAGTTATATTCAGTATTGATATGGAGGCATTCTCAAGTAGTATTAGACTTTAAGCCCCCTCCCCTCACTCCACAGTAAACTTTTCAATTTGGATCTGATTTATGCTTTTTCCTAGCTCAGGTGAGCGATGTGGCCCCTGGGCCTCTTGTTAAATTTATTACCTGGTAATTCATTTTATTGACGTTTTAACTTTTGAGTCATATCATCATTTTTGCAAACTTTATGGAACGCATTTCATTACCAAAGTGATACCACAAAACACTGTCCCATGTGTTGAATGCGATCTTGTGGTATGGTCCGTTTAGGTCGGATCAACCACGACTCTGCTTTCTTCGAGACAGCACAGGAGACACGACTGGAGTCATTATCTTGGTCTTTCGTGGAAAACCCTTTCCCATTGTGGTAATGCAAGCTGTTTTATTTATCAATAAATACAATTTTCTCATTTATTTTCTCATATAAATAAAAATTTCTAACAGAAATAATTAATGTTAGCTTTTAAAATCTGCTCTCGATGGCCTCACTTCTAAGGTTTTGTTATGTTGTTTTTAATGAATAACACAAAAATATATAAATGTCATGTGTGAGATAAGAACCTGTATTTTTTTTTTTAAAAAAAAGCATACCCGCAGTGCCGCTGTATCAATAAACTTTCAGCTTGTATTTCTGGGCTCGCTTCCAAAGGAAAATGTTGAGTACATTGTATTTGGCAAATGCTGTTTTGCTTGAAAAATTCTGAAGTCATATCGCAGTACACCAGTCTATGTGCCTTCAAGTCAAATCATCAATCACATACTTAGGACAAGGCTTATGTTGCTTCACCAATGTGAGTAATACAGCCTTGAGCATTGTCGGAGTGTGATGGATACCCTTTCTATCAAGCCAAGACTGGATCTCGGCCTTTCGCGAAGTCGGACTCTTAGACTCAGGATCCAGATGACTGTGAAAGGAAGCATTATCCATCACGATGACTGGATTACTAAGTAGGTTAGGGAGCAACTGCTCAGTGAACTACCTCTGACGTTTCCTGAGTTCATTTCATCTTGATAATCTTGAGTGCCAGTTTCCGTGAACATTGGAATGCTAGCAGCTGTTCTTATTTGTGCCGGTCCGCCATTCTTGAATG